CTTCAACTTCATAAAATGTCAAACATATCAAGGCACAGGCTTAGCGCTCCAAACTCTTCCCTCCCATACCCCCCAAAAAGCTCTGTCCAAATTGACCCTACAGATGTTTGACTGTTTGATACTCCCTATGCCCTACAGATGTTTGTACTGTTTGATATTCCCTATGCCCTATTTTACTTGTCCTATTTTCCTTTTTAGTCCATCACTCCATTTCAATGTAATGATCACTTTTCTAATTTAAACAATACTAGCCTTTTACTTTTTCCATTCCATCCCTTCTCTCTCTTAACTTTTTGAATGATTTGACAGTGCTAGATAATCCTTCTGGGGACATTTTGGAAATTGTATTTCATTATACTGATAATCATGCTGAATGAAAAAGTGCCCTATAAGGTTATAATTTGGAATGGATGGAGTTTATGGTAAGTTTGAAATGAGATGAAGTAGGATCACATGTATATTTAGAGGAGCAATTGTTTGACAGGCTGAAAGGAAAGTATGGAAAGCAGAAAGGGCCTTGTCAAAGGTGGAAGAGACTTTGAAGCCATTAGAGCAGCCAGCAGATCCTTATAGCATAACAGATGACGAGAGATTTATGTTCCGCAAACTGGGATTAAGGATGAAAGCTTTCTTACTTCTAGGTAAAGTTTAATCGATCCCAAAAACTCTTGAAATTCTAGGCCATGTTTCGAACTTGGAAAATGTTAGGAAAAAATACCAAGGAGAGTGGTTTAATGTTTAGTTCAACTTGGAATGTATAGAGGGATTCAAATTTTTCATGCTAGATTTCATAGTCTACCTTTGACAAATTTTTCAAATTTAGTTTAACTCTGTATGTAATACAAATATTTATGTAAAGTGAGTTTGAACAAATATCTGAAATTGATTTATTGAGTTTGAACTTTGAAGCTGTCTTATTTTGTCCCACATCTCTTCTTCCAAATTTCCTTCATATTTTCCTTCCCTAGCATTTACGACTTCCGAACAACTTAAGCTCAAAGTGCCTTGAAAAAAACACTTATTTCAGGTAGACGTGGAGTTTTTAGTGGTACCGTGGAGAACATGCACTTGCATTGGAAATACCGAGAACTGGTTAAGATCATTGTGAAAGCTAAGGATATTCAGCAAGTAAAAAGTATTGCCTTAGCACTAGAAGCAGAGAGCGGCGGTGTATTGGTTTCAGTGGACAAAGTATCCAAAGGGTATGCTGTAGTTGTGTTCCGAGGAAAGGATTATCAATGCCCTCCTACCCTTCGACCCAAAAACCTTTTAACTAAGAGGAAAGCTTTGGCACGTTCCATTGAGCTACAGAGACGCGAGGTGCTTTTCATTATTTTTAAACCATTTCAAAGGGCTTTATTATACTTGTACATTTTTTTATGCGTCAATTTGTCATTAACATCTTTTTGTTTGTGAAACAGGCTCTTCTGAGTCATATTGAAACTGTTCAAAAGAGAGTAAAGCAGCTGAAGGCTGAAATTGTATGTTTCACATCTGGTTGCTATTGTACATGGCATTTTAAAATAACATTTCTTGTTTCTTTTTAGCAATTTCTACCCATTCTGGTCTTGGCCTGAAATTTCTTCCTTTTATTTCTCAAGGAACAAATGGATAGTATTAGGGATCATGGAGATGAGGAACTATATGACAAGTTGGACTCGGGATATCCTAATGATGACGAGGAGAGTGAGGTTAGTTTTCCTTTACATATACAATGTAGGGAGGGGGGAAGGGGGTTCATATATCACATGGTTCCATGTCACATAAGGATCTGGAGGAATTGTAGCAAAAGTAAACTCAATTCCCGTTTCATGGAATCTGACAGTGCATTCAAAAATCATACACCACACATTCATGTGAACTGGTCATTATAGTATTCTGAGGAGTCCCTCCACCCTATTATTTTCTCCCTGTTTTCATTTTTAGGCCATCCTAATGTTTTGTCCCCTTTCATTCTAAGAAAAGAATTCTATCGTCAATACTGTTTTCCCCTCTTCTAATTAAGTGTGCCGAGGCAAAAAACAAATATTTAGGATAGAGTATAATATTTCTACGTGAACCAAACGTTAGCTCAGGGTTGTATTTCTACACCACTGGTACTTTACACCTCTTCGTATGACTAAAAAATTTGTTTTTTTGTTCAATAATAATTAACAGGAAGAAGCAGGTCTCGATCAAGACGACACTAATGAAGAATCTATAAATGGAAGTGACAGTTCAGGCTATTCCGAAACCAAGTTTTCATACGATGATAGCGAAGATAAAGAGGAAGAAGTAGTATTTCTTCCTAGTGGAACAATAACGTAATGGATTTTCGTATTCCAGGATTGTCATATTTATGAGAATAGTGTCTGTTATCCTTGTATAGTTGTATCACTTGTATGTGAGAGTTTTAGAGCTTCTTTGATAAAATTAAAAGTGGCAGAATATGTTGGAATTGATAAAATTCTAGTTGAAACGGCTAAATTGGCCGAGTGTGCATAATTGTTGAAAAATGATATTTAAAACTTATTTTGTTATTATTAATAAAATAAAGAGAAATATATATGAAAAATAGATAAAATAGCTAAAATCGTCCTCTACGGAAACTTCATCCAATTCAATTAGAAAAGTAATTTTATTTTATTTTGGTTAATATACAATTCAGCTTGTGAAACAAGACTTATGTGTTTAGTAAACAAGTTGACTAATAAATTTAATAGAGGTGTTATCAAAACGGTTTTAGAATGTTTTTAATTGAATAGATTTCATTCTAAATCATATGTAGCGGCTGGTGCCCCATCCCTCTCAGCGGTTTCTTCCTCGACCGTGGCATACTTCTGTGCACACGCCAAGACCTCAGCATAGTTAGTCTCCGGGTTCCTCCTCAAATCTTGGTATAGGACCATAGGTCACCAGTGGTTAGGGCGTTCGTGAAGAGGGTGATGCACTTGCTTTCATCTAGGTCCTCGACCTTCAGAGTCTCATCCCTCCATTTGATGAGGAACGCAGAAAGGGGCTCGGCCCTGCCCCGATGGATGCTCATCAGCGAACTGAAGTGTTTCTTGGGCGTTGAGCTAGATGCGAACTACGCCATGAACTGCTTGGACAACTAATCAAACATGTCTATGGTCTCGGGCCTCAACTGCCCGAACCATTCCTGTGCTGGCCCTCGTAGGGTGTCGAAGAAGAGTCTGCAAATGGCATCATCAGACGCTCCGAGCATGGTGAGATTGCCCTAGAAGCTGATCAGATGGGCATTGGGATCCCTGACCCCGTTGTACACCAAGGTGATTGGTGGCCTGATCTCCGAAGCCATGATCCTCGGGGAGAATGGGGAAGTGAGTGAAATGTGAGGCTATGTCGGACTGTTCTCCACACGTCTGTTCAGTTCCCCGATTCGCCTCTCCATCGCTTCGATCCCTGCCTCTAGATTTGGGCACCCTGCCTCTAGAAGCGCTGCCCTACATTGGTCGCTGCAGGGGTCAGCTCCCAACCCTGGTGGTTGTGGGGGACGTTCGGCGTGTGAGCACGCGTATCGTTCTGCCTCCCCTGTCGGGAGGCGCTAGCGCCATTGTGACCCCCCCATGTCTTGGGAGGGTGGCGCTCCGCCTATCCGCGTATGGACTGATGGGCGACGGCCATCAGATTCTGCCGTTTGCTCCTCGAACGGCTATATTTGGTGAATCGATGATAGGGGCGCGTGCTGGGAGTTCGCTGAGTACACACGTTCACGAGCCTCCTGCTCGTCAACCATGCGACACATGGTCTCTGCCAGTTCCCTCATAACCCGAGGGTCGTGCCTGGCTGCCTGAGGGATGAGGTTGGTGATGTCACCGCCTCCCCCCGTAGACCATTGACTCTCAAAACGTTCTGTGGTCTGCCCTCGTGACCTCCGAATACTTGCCAACTAGTCGGAAAGGTCACGTGGTTGCTGGTTGTTGTTTCCTGCCATCTTGCTTGCTAAGAGAGAGTTCTTAAGGAGCTGTTTGGTGAGCTTTTTCTAGAAATTTTTAGTTCATTTTCCCACAAACTGCGTCAGTGTTAAAGTTTATTCCTTCAATCCGGGGGGCAACACGTAACCCAAGGAATTGGAGTGGAAGAGTGTGTGGAAATATCAAGTGCAAGCAAGTAAGATTGGCTGAAGTATATATGTAGCAGTGGGTTGATCTTATTAAATGATAATAAGGTTCCGTATACAACACACTAAGCTACCTGGCCTGAGGCCGGTGGTCTTTCTCACTGAGTAAGGGCTGAGAATAAAAGCTATAAGCTAGAATGCTAGGGAGAATAAGCTACAAATCCTTTACAATGAAATAAATGCTACTGTTTATACTACCAAGGGGGTAGGTGGGTACGCTGACGTGGTGGGTTGTGGATGGCTAGCAGTGCCGGTCCTACTCGAATTCGGGCCTGAGTCGATCTTCATAAAAAGACCCCTTAAATTACATTTTTATATAGTATATTTTTTTGAAGTTAAAGATTAAGCATCACAAAAAAATTAACTAAATAAATCTCTCTCTGACACACACACACACGCACGCGCACACACACACACAACTAATTAAGTGCAACTTATCACACAAATTTAACCGCAAAAATATTAATTAAGTCAGCATAATCAAGGTGTTCAATAAATTTCTTGTCCATTAATAATATAGTTAATTCTCGAAAAGTCAAACAAATGTTGAAACTAACTATAAATAAAAACATAATTTACTGAAATCATATATTTTAAATTTTGATGTATTAGTTTTTAAGTGACATATACTTCATACTATTATTAGTTAAACAAATGTGCTAAATAATGCTCCCTCCATCCCATTTTATTTAGCCAAACTTGACTTTTCAAGTCAATGGCGTCTAAAATATTACTAAAAAACTGGTTGTGGACAAAAAAGTGAACTTTTTCCTCAAATTCCAAAAATGAGACTAAAAAGAGTGTAGGAGACTACTTTACCCCTATTAGTGCTACAGTAACGTCACAGTGACCAATATCACCACAGTGACCAAAAATCATTAGTGACTAAAAATCCAAAATTCACCAGTGACCAAAAATCGTTAGTGACTAAAAAATCCAAAATTCACCAGTGACCAAAATCGTTAGTGACTAAAAAACCAAAATGCACCAGTGACAGAAAATCATTAGTGACCAAGAATCATTAGTTACCAAAAATTTCACCCAATAACACATTGATTCCGCCCGATTAGTACCAATCATCCGTTTGTCTATTGACCAATATCCACCCTTCTCGTTAGTCACGTGAACTAGCCAATCACAATTACTCAACTCTACTACTTTTATTTATCCAATTTTACCATTATCCAATTTTACCAGTTACAGTTACTCAACTCAACTACTTTTATTTATCCATTTTTTTCCCGATGGCCTACAATCCCAGTGATTAGCCCGTTCCAGTTACCACCGCTCTAGTGATGACGGTCTCAGTTACTACTGTTCCAGTGACTATCGTCCCAGTAATTACTGTTCCAGTGATCACCGTCCCAGTTACTACCGCTCCAGCAAGTCACTATCAATTCGCTAGTGACATTTACATGTCACCGACGCCTTCGCCATTGACCCGCCATCCAGTGACCTATTGATAGACAATTTGTAAGTCCTCGCAAGTGCACGAGTCGCGGTAGTATAGTGCACAAGTAAGGGTCGAATCCACGGGGAAAATGTAACTAAATAATTGGAAAACTACTAATAAAAATAAAAGTGAAATCTAACTAAAAAAATGAGTTTTGGGTTTGTTTGATTTAAAACTGAAAGGTAAGGCTTGAATTAAATGGATGCAAGGAATTGAAAGGATTAAAAATAAATTGATTGGGCCACTAACGGGAATTTGATTGAGAACTTAGCAAGAGAAAAACATAGTCCAGGATTATGAATCTGTCACTAATCTTTAGTATTTGCGATTTAGTTAGTCAATTAAAATTGAGGGTTCGTTCTAGGCATAAATATGACTATTCCGTATGGCGTCCAGAATAAGTCATGTACTTTAACTATTAATCAACAAGAAATTATTAATTCAATAGTTAAAATCCATTAATCACAAAAGAACTACGGAAACCCGATTTAAGAACCAAATAGATAACCTAACAAGACAGCTAAATTATCTATTCTTTTATCCAAAAGAGCTCGAACTAATAGGCATGACATGTACTCTATTAATCCACTCAAACAACTTAATTAATTATATTAAAGTTGGCCAGAAATTAACACAATCAATTAAGCGAATAAGAACAATGGATAAAACTCAATCAATTGGCATAACTAAAATCACAATTCATACTAAATCATACCAACTTCATCATAATCCGGGACTTAAAGAGTTTAGCTACTCATATCAAAACTAGCTGGGAGTGAAACAACAATAACTAAAGAGTTCATCTTGATCAAATTAATGATCAGCAAATGATTGTCGTGAATACTCAATTTATTGAAGTAAGGCACATATGATAAAATGAAGTAAATTGGAATTTTAGAACAGAAAGAATTTGTCAAACCAGAGTTGTTTTCTTTCTGAACTAAATTGCTAACTTTCACCAGGAAGAAAGCATGTCGTTGTGCTTTGCTTCTAACACACCGGTTTGGAGAATTGTGCGTCCTCCTTAAAGCTGCTGCTGAGACTGAAATTAGCAGCTCACCTTTTCCTCCAAACGCCAGCCCAATTCTCCAAAAATCGCCTCCAAAAAAAACTCTTGCTGCTGCCTTCTTTATATGGAAGGATTAGAGCCGTTTCAAGCGCTCTAAGTCCTGAGTTTTCGGTGCCGTTCCAGCCGATGAGACTTATTATTTTCCTCCTTGATTCCGAGTCTTCCTCCCGTCGTCCGTAAGATCTGGAACCGTTTTTTTGACTGATGAGCCTAGAACTCTCCCCGTATCCTCCTGTTAATGGACTCCCTTCTTTTTTCTTTTTCTGGTACAGTAAGTTAATGAGCCCTTTTCAAAAGTTCAGCCCCAGCCCCTGCTTTTCTTTCTTACGTATGGGTGGGTGATAAGCCCAATTATTTATCAAACTTTCAGATAGCCCCAGGATTTACACTCCACTTAAAATGGCACTATTCTTTTCAATTCAGCCCAAAGAATCCTCAAATCCTTCCATTAAAACCCCTACACTTTAAAAATCATTTTTAACACAAAATAAAACACAAACCTCTTAATTAGGCAAATAATAAGTATAGAATTGTGATAAAAATTAATCACAAATTCTAACTTATCAAACTCCCCCACACTTGCATTTTACTTGTCCTCAAGGAAAATTAATATCAAGAAACTAAATCAGCATCAAATGTTCAAAGTTCCCTTTCACTCACCAAGCATTCCAACAAACTCCTCCATGACAAAATAACTCAAGAAATTTGAATCAAGTATCCACCACAATGTTACACTCAAAAGTCAATCACCGAGATTCACATGTCATTAATAGAGATGTATCTTACAATTCTAAATGACCTAATGAGATACTCAAGTAACTTTCACAAAAATTATGCAAAGTCCCAAGTCATTCAGTCAACACTCTATAGTCATCTCATGCTCTTCCTTTCACCTTATCAAGCACAAACTTGATCAAGATCACTTAGGACTTTTATTTGGGATGTAACGTGGCCATGGGTAATGGGCTAATGAAAGAGAGGTTATGAGACTTCAAACAAAGGAGGAGACATCTTCTATACCAAACTGATCCTAGGAAGAGTTCAATAAATGACAAAGGGAGCAACAAAACTACTACACAATCAACCGGCGTCTTAGATAAAGAGATGCAAATACGAAGCTCAAAGAATACAACTTCAACTCACTTCTGTCTTCTTCACTTTTTCACTTTTCAACTTTTCATCTTTTTTTTTTTTTGGCTTTTCTGCTTTTTTTTTTTTGAACTTTTCAAACCTTCAATCCACTGACTGCTCACAAGAATCAGCACTAACAACATTGAATCTATACAAAATGCCGGGAATAAAAAAGAAAAATGCTCCAAAAAGATAAACTCTTCTAAGACACAGTTTAAGTAAGAAAATGTCAACTCAAGGGTAAGGGATAATTTTTTTTTTTTTTTTTTTTTGGCTATTTGGGCTCGGGGTCAACATTGATGGGTAATTACAAAGAAATCATTAGTCAAAAGCACGATAGAATGCTTTGAGACATATTAGGCTCAAAGGGGTAGCAAGCGGAAATAAAATAAAAAGGGTAGGCTAAAAGGTTTGGGGTATGAAAAATGGCCTATATCACATCTCAATCAGTTTGTACCATAACATAGCTTCCAAAAAGAACAACAAGACAAGTTCTATCATGCTGGCTAAAAGACATAGGACTCACACTCTTTCCAAGAACGTTAGAGATACATCCTAAGAGGTCATAAAGAATTGAAAAATACATCTCTGTTAATGACACAAGAAGCTAAGAAATTGACTCAAAGTAAAACAATGTGAAGGACTCAATCAAATTCAAGAGAATACCTATATGGAGACCACCAATCATACCACATACCAATGAAAGGAAAACTTTTCACAACTTGAAGCCAAAAAAAAGTAATCCTGAAATTAAATTTTCCTCAACTCCAAGCAAGAAAAACAGTTTTTTTTAATTAAAGCAGTTTTCTGCTTTTTTTTTAAAACTAAAACAGAACTAAAAACTGAGAGTTACTCCTCCCCCACACCTATCTCACGCATTGTCCTCAATGAAGGATTAATATACAAAGAGAAAGGAGAAGAAATACTCCCTGAATGTACTTCAAGCCAAAACTGAAACATGTTGATAAATAACCTGCAAAACTAAGAAACAAAGAAAGAAAAGAAAAGAATGGAGAAGAGGGAAACAACATAAAAGTTTTTGTTTTTTAATGAGTTTTGTTTTTTTTTTTTGTTTTTTTTTTTAATTTTTTTTTTTTGTTTTTTTTTTTTGGAAACTGTGACTAGACACAACATGAGCAACGGTATTCCTGAAGCTCAAGACACTCAACCTGCTCGACTACATCTTCACTTCTCAAATATTTTTTTACTCGGTGACCGTTCACCTTAAATATATTCCCCGATTTTGGATTTTCAAGTTCAATTGCACCATGGGGAAAAACTTGGCGAATCAAAAACGGTCCAGTCCACCTAGATTTTAACTTCCCTGGAAAAAGCCTCAACCGAGAGTCATATAACAACACCTCCATTCCAGGTTTAAAATCTCTCCTCAAAATGGATTTATCATGAAAAAGCTTAGTGTGTTCTTTATAAATTTTCGCACTCTCATACGCATCATTCCTAATCTCATCCAGCTCATTCAAATTCAGTTTTCTCAACTCACCTGCTTCTTTAAGATCAAAATTCAGCGCCTTGATAGCCCAGTAGGCTCGGTGTTCCAACTCTACAGGCAAATGACAAGGTTTACCGAAAACTAACCTGTACGGGCTCATTCCAATTGGGGTTTTGTAGGCTGTCCGGTAAGCCCACAGTGCATCGTTCAGCCTATTAGTCCAATCCTTACGTGAAGGATTCACAGTTTTTTCCAGAATACCTTTAATCTGCCTGTTACTCACCTCAACTTGCCCCGAAGTCTGTGGATGGTAAGGTGTTGCAACCCGGTGCGTAACACCATACTTTTTCAGCAATCCTGCAAAAAACTTGTTACAAAAGTGGCTGCCACCATCACTAATGATAGCCCTCGGTGTCCCAAACCTAGCAAAAATCACTTCTTTCAAAAAATTCAGCACCACTCGACTATCATTAGTTCTAGTGGCAATAGCTTCAATCCATTTAGACACGTAATCAACTGCAACCAGAATATAATTAAACCCAAAAGAAGTAGGAAACGGCCCCATAAAATCAATACCCCAAACGTCAAACAAGTCAACAACCAGATTATTCGTAAGAGGCATCTCATGACGTTTGCTAATATTCCCTACTCTCTGACAACGATCACATTTAGCACAGAAAGAAATTGCATCTTTAAAGAGAGTAGGCCAATAAAAACCAGATTGCAAGACCTTAAATGCAGTCTTTTTTCCACTAAAATGCCCACCACAATTCAAAGTATGACTATGATGCAAAACACTCTCTTGTTCATGTTCAGGAATGCAACGCCTAATGGTCTGATCGGGGCAGATTTTAAACAAGTAAGGCTCATCCCAGAAATAATATTTCACTTTGGAAAGAAAATGTTTTCTACCCTGTGAATTTAAATCAGGATGAAACTTACCGGTAACTAAATAATTAACAAGATCAGCATACCATGGCTCTTTACTCATCACAGAAAACAAACCTTCATCGGGAAACCTGTCATTAAGAGGTATCTCCAGATCCTTCCCAGAATGTCGAATCTGATCAGGGAGACGTGATAAATGATCAGCCACCACGTTCTCGCTTCCTTTCTTGTCCCTGATAGACAAATCAAACTCTTGCAACAATAAAATCCACCTAATCAACCTAGGTTTAGCATCCTTTTTCATCAATAAATATTTCAAAGCAGCATGGTCAGAATAGACAATCACCTTAGATCCAATCAAATAAGACCTGAACTTTTCTAATGCAAAGACAACTGCTAACAATTCTTTTTCAGTTGTAGAGTAGTTAATCTGTGCATCATCTAAAGTTCGACTAGCATAATAAATCACATAAGGCAGCTTGTCAATTCTTTGACCCAAAACAGCACCAATTGCAAAATCGGAGGCATCACACATAATCTCAAACGGATATGACCAGTTCGGGGCAGCAAGTATTGGGGCAGAAGTTAATTTTTCTTTCAGCACATTAAAAGCAACGAGACATTCATCATCAAAGCTGAAAGTTGCATCCTTAGCTAACAGATTACATAGAGGTTTACAAATCTTAGAAAAATCTTTAATAAACCTTCTATAAAAGCCCGCATGACCAAGGAAACTACGAACCCCTCTAACGGAAGTAGGGGGTGGCAGTTTAGCGATCACATCAATTTTAGCCCTATCTACTTCAATCCCCCGATTAGAAATCACATGCCCCAAAACGATCCCTTCTTTAACCATAAAATTGCACTTTTCCCAACTAAGAGTCAAATTCATTTGAACACATCTTTCAAGAACTAGCGACAGATTATGCAAACACTGATCAAAAGAATCACCAAACAAGGAAAAATCATCCATAAAAACTTCAACAAACTTTTCAATCATATCAGAAAAAATAGACATCATACACCGTTGAAAAGTACCAGGAGCATTACACAATCCAAAAGACATCCTACGAAAGGCAAAAGTGCCAAATGGACATGTAAAAGTAGTTTTTTCTTGGTCTTCCGGAGCAACCGGAATCTGATTGTAACCTTGAAAACCGTCAAGAAAGCAATAGAACGCATGGCCAGCCAAGCGCTCTAACATTTGGTCTATAAAAGGTAAAGGAAAATGGTCTTTTTTAGTGGCTGCATTTAATTTTCTGTAGTCAACACACATTCGCCACCCTGTGGTAACTCGTGTGGGTACCAACTCATTTTTCTCATTACTCACGACAGTAATCCCAGACTTCTTAGGAACAACTTGCACAGGACTAACCCATTTACTGTCAGAAATAGGAAAGATAATACCTGCATCAAGCAACTTTAGAACTTCCACACGCACTACCTCTTTCATGTTTGGATTCAGCCTCCATTGAGGTTGTCTGCATGGAGTAGCACCTTCTTCCAGCAAGATTTTGTGCATGCAAACTGTTGGGCTAATTCCTTTCAAATCAGAAATCGCCCAACCAAACGCAGCTTTAAACTTCCTCAACACCTTAAGCAATTGCTCTTCTTGTTCCTGTGTCAAGTCAGATGCAATAATAACAGGAAAAGTACTATCACACCCTAAAAACACATATTTCAGATTCGAGGGGAGGGGTTTCAGTTGCACTTGAGGTGGATTTTCAGCATGCTGATTTTTTTTCAGCTCACTATCAGCCATTATTTCCTCACTTTGCAGCTCAGTTTTGTCTAGAATATCCCTCATCTCACTCACTTTTTCATCATCAAACTCTTGCACATCAAGAGTTAAAGCAAACTCAAGCTCATCTTCCTGTAACATACTCAAAGGAACAATAGAATCAAGCATATCAAGTGCAAAACATGAATCAGAATCAGCCGGCATATTCATGGACTTCAAAATGGAAAATTCAACAGTTTCATCAAGCACACTCATAGTTAATTTTCCATTTTGAACGTCAATCATAGTTTTAGCCGTGGCCATGAAAGGTCTACCAAGTAAGATTGGCATATCTTTCACATGTTTGCACTGATCACTCATATCTAAAACCACAAAATCAGCGGGAATAATCAGCTTATCAACTTGAACTAAAACGTCCTCTACAATGCCCCTAGGGTATCTAATTGAGCGGTCAGCAAGCTGCAGGGACATTGTAGTGGTTTTTAGCTCATTCAGCCCTAATTTCACGTAAACAGAATAAGGCATTAGATTAATACTCGCCCCCAAATCAAGCATAGCTTTTTCTGATCTAGAATTCCCTAAATTAATGGTTATAATAAAGCTGCCAGGGTCTTCTAATTTTGGGGGCAAGTCCTTTTGTAAAACAGCACTCACAGCCTTAGAAACAAAAATCTTTTCATTCGGCTCATACCTACGCCTTCTAGTGTTTAATTCTTTCAAAAATTTAGCGTAGGCAGGCATATTAGTTATCATTTCAAGAAGAGGCAAATTAACATTAACTTTGGACAGCAAATCATAAATCTCATCAAAAGATTTATCAAACTTGGAACTTTTTAACCTGTTTGGAAAAGGGGCCGGTGGCACATATGGTTTAGGCGGAATATACGGATCTTTTGCTTTGTGCAGCCCGGACTCGTCATACACCGAATCAGCCTCCACTTCGTTCTTCTTTTCAGCTTCTACTTTTTGCTTCTTCTCAGCCTCTACCTTCTTCGGTAGCTTGGGAACAGGCTGCTCTTCGTTTTTCTGAATTACCTTCCCACTTCTAAGAACCGTGACAGCTTTGGCCTCTTCAGATTGACTCGGTAGCTTCCCTTGCACGTGTCCCTGAAGAGATTCAGCAATCTGCCCAACCTGTACTTCTAGCTTCCTCAAAGAGGCATCGGTGCGCTGAAAACGCTGCTCGTTAACTTGCTGGTTGTTGCTGCAGATTTGCATAAAATTCTGCAAAGTATCTTCCAAAGAAGGCTTCTTTGGTTCAACAGGTGGCTGGTTCCCTTGTTGCGTGTTAGACCATGAGAAGTTTGGATGATTTCTCCAACCGGGGTTGTAGGAATTGGAGAATGGATCGTTCCTTGACCTCTGATTGTATGAATTCATCATATTAGCTTGTTCAAGACTAGCCTCGGGCATTTCATTCACTGCAGCGGCAGATTGATTCATCGCCATCATAGAACACATATTCTTCATTTGCTTGGATAGCTCGGATATTTGGATGGCCAGTTCTGTACTCGCACCAACTTCATACATCCCTTGAGTCTTCCCACGAACGCTCTTCTGCTGGGAATTAGCTCCAAGCATCTCATATAACTCTAGGGTCTGTTCAGCAGTCTTCTCCCCCATAGCTCCTCCAGCTGCGTTGTCAACGATTGCTTGGCTTCCTTGGGTTAAACCGTCATAGAAAGTCTGATTTTGGAGCGCCAAGGAATAACCATGGTGAGGGCATTGTGTGAGCAGCATCTTGAACCTCTCCCACGCCTCATGGAATGGCTCACCTTCAGCTTGAGTGAAATTGGCAATTTTTCTTCTTAATTCTGAAGTTTTGGACTGAGAATAGTACTTGCCAATGAACTTGTTATAGACCTCAGCCCATGTGCGCAAGGAACCAGGCGTTAAAGACATAAACCATGTCTTCGCGGCATCTTTGAGAGTGTAGGGAAAACACCTCATCTTCAGCTCATCTTCAGTCACACCTTGCAATGGAAAATTCTGAATTATACCATAGAAATCTCGGATAAAAATCAGTGCATCCTCGGAAGCAAGGCCATAGAAAGATGGCAGTTGGTTGTAATGAACAGTCTTTAAGTCATAATTTCTGGCAGCTTCACTCAATACAATGCAGGACGGGGAGACACCTACAGTTGGTCTCCCAAACTCTTTCATCAGTTGTGCATCACCCATTGTGGAATTTGGAACAAATGCAAGTCGCCTTTTTGTCTTCTTTCCAATTAAATCTACTTGGTCGTTCAGCGGTAGCAAACCTGGATTGAGTGACCTGCGACCAAGCATACAACAACAAAAACGAAAAAAAGAAAAACAAACACAACTAACTAAAAACACAAAATTAACAATTTTCCAAAAACTAGTTAGACAAATTCCCCGGCAACGGCGCCAAAAATTGATAGACAATTTGTAAGTCCTCGCAAGTGCACGAGTCGCGGTAGTATAGTGCACAAGTAAGGGTCGAATCCACGGGGAAAATGTAACTAAATAATTGGAAAACTACTAATAAAAATAAAAGTGAAATCTAACTAAAAAAATGAGTTTTGGGTTTGTTTGATTTAAAACTGAAAGGTAAGGCTTGAATTAAATGGATGCAAGGAATTGAAAGGATTAAAAATAAATTGATTGGGCCACTAACGGGAATTTGATTGAGAACTTAGCAAGAGAAAAACATAGTCCAGGATTATGAATCTGTCACTAATCTTTAGTATTTGCGATTTAGTTAGTCAATTAAAATTGAGGGTTCGTTCTAGGCATAAATATGACTATTCCGTATGGCGTCCAGAATAAGTCATGTACTTTAACTATTAATCAACAAGAAATTATTAATTCAATAGTTAAAATCCATTAATCACAAAAGAACTACGGAAACCCGATTTAAGAACCAAATAGATAACCTAACAAGACAGCTAAATTATCTATTCTTTTATCCAAAAGAGCTCGAACTAATAGGCATGACATGTACTCTATTAATCCACTCAAACAACTTAATTAATTATATTAAAGTTGGCCAGAAATTAACACAATCAATTAAGCGAATAAGAACAATGGATAAAACTCAATCAATTGGCATAACTAAAATCACAATTCATACTAAATCATACCAACTTCATCATAATCCGGGACTTAAAGAGTTTAGCTACTCATATCAAAACTAGCTGGGAGTGAAACAACAATAACTAAAGAGTTCATCTTGATCAAATTAATGATCAGCAAATGATTGTCGTGAATACTCAATTTATTGAAGTAAGGCACATATGATAAAATGAAGTAAATTGGAATTTTAGAACAGAAAGAATTTGTCAAACCAGAGTTGTTTTCTTTCTGAACTAAATTGCTAACTTTCACCAGGAAGAAAGCATGTCGTTGTGCTTTGCTTCTAACACACCGGTTTGGAGAATTGTGCGTCCTCCTTAAAGCTGCTGCTGAGACTGAAATTAGCAGCTCACCTTTTCCTCCAAACGCCAGCCCAATTCTCCAAAAATCGCCTCCAAAAAAAACTCTTGCTGCTGCCTTCTTTATATGGAAGGATTAGAGCCGTTTCAAGCGCTCTAAGTCCTGAGTTTTCGGTGCCGTTCCAGCCGATGAGACTTATTATTTTCCTCCTTGATTCCGAGTCTTCCTCCCGTCGTCCGTAAGATCTGGAACCGTTTTTTTGACTGATGAGCCTAGAACTCTCCCCGTATCCTCCTGTTAATGGACTCCCTTCTTTTTTCTTTTTCTGGTACAGTAAGTTAATGAGCCCTTTTCAAAAGTTCAGCCCCAGCCCCTGCTTTTCTTTCTTACGTATGGGTGGGTGATAAGCCCAATTATTTATCAAACTTTCAGATAGCCCCAGGATTTACACTCCACTTAAAATGGCACTATTCTTTTCAATTCAGCCCAAAGAATCCTCAAATCCTTCCATTAAAACCCCTACACTTTAAAAATCATTTTTAACACAAAATAAAACACAAACCTCTTAATTAGGCAAATAATAAGTATAGAATTGTGATAAAAATTAATCACAAATTCTAACTTATCACCTATTGACAATGAATTGTTGCCTCCAAATACACTCACCCTCGCCGCCTCAATAGTCACTATCATCAATAGTGATTTCGGTGACCACCACTGACCGTCACTGACCGTCACCGCCCCAATATGGGCAGATGCCGCCAACTCCACCACCACACGCACAGCCCTGCCCCACCACCGTCACAACAGCCCTGCCCTGCCTCCATCACCCTAGCTCTGCTGCCCTGCTACCCATCAGCCTAGTCATGCCACTCCTCTACAAGCCCTGCCCCATCCCCATCAGCCCAACCTGCCACAGCCTCGACCCCCAGCCTCAGCCCCCAACCCTCAACCGCCATTCCACCACCACCGCCCGTAACCCTAGCCGCCAGCCCATCACCGTCCCCCTGGGACCGAAATCGCACGTCATTGAAACGCTAGCCCACCGGATCGTCATCTCAATAGCATATCAAAAGAAAATATCAATCTCAAAAGCAGAGAAGTATCTTTGGTGATGGAGGTGCGGCGGTCGAACAATCACGATGATGGAGGCGTTGCAGCGATGGGCGATGGTGGTTTGCCTATGTCTTGCGGCGATCGTGATTTGGCTATGGCTTGCGGCGATCGTGATTTGGCCATGGCTTGCGGCAAAGGAGGTGCGGCTCTGGCTTAGGGCGATGAAGGTGCGTTGCTGGAGAGGAAGATTTGAAAACGAAGGAATTGACGGACAACTGGGAGAATGAATTAAGGATAGGGTAATTAAGGGTATTTCGGTCCAGTTTGTAAAGTTAAATCTCCTTTTTGTCCAAATTGAGAACACGACTTATTTTTGTCTAATAGAAAGCCTCACGTATTATTTTGGTCATTTTTTCTAAATAAAAACATAATTTACTGAAATCATATATTTTAAATTTTGATGTATTAGTTTTTAAGTGACATATACTTCATACTATTATTAGTTAAACAAATGTGCTAAATAATGCTCCCTCCATCCCATTTTATTTAGCCAAACTTGACTTTTCAAGTCAATGGCGTCTAACTTTGATCGATTATATATTTATATAGAGAAAGTATTGATAATATGAAAATGGTATGAAAATGTTCTTTGTTAAAAATCCTATCATAAAAGTTTATAATTATTAATTTTGCATAAATATATTAGTTGAAATAATTTTTCAAAGTTTACCATCTTTGACTCGAAAAGTCAAAGATGACTAAGTAAATTGGGACGGAGGTAGTACATACTGACATGCCAGTAAGTTAGAGAACGTAACCTACTTAAAATTTAAAATTCAAGTATGTTTTTACTTGGACTGAAATTTGCTGGCTGATTTGGTCTGTTTAAGTTTGGTCTGATTTGAATTGGTCTAATAAATGTTTTGTCTTTGTGTAATTTATATCTATGGAAGTCTTGTCTGGTCTGTTCTGATGTAGTTTGTTTAAATCTAGTCTGGTCTGGTCTGTTCTTATCTAGTTTGTTTAAATCTACCCTGATTTAGTTTGTTTAAGTCTAGTATGATCTGATCTGGAACCGAAAACAATCCAAGTAAAAACATTATAAAACTGAAATGGTTTAATTCTGCACCTCAAATTGTCTTTTAAAAATATCTCAAATCGTTTCAATATCCCAAATTAAGCTTGAACTTAATTTTCTAAAATTAAGGACCAATCAGACATGCAATAAAAACGCGGTCGTCTCCCTAGCATTAGGGTTCTAGTGCGCAGCTTGCATCTTCATCGTTCTCCAGTTTAAAGGGTTCCGCCTCGGCGATTCCCTTGGCTCCAGTTGTGCGTTTTTTGTCTTAACACTTTGCAGGTTTGGTCGGGTTCGTGTGGTTTGACAGATTATGTCATACATCAACGAATTAGTTTTCAGTGCACTGACGGCAGGATGGATGCTCAACATATCCTTCTAGATTGCTGTGCGAGAATCTTCCAGGGGAGGATAGCCTGTGAGGCATCAAACTATGGTGGCGGTTTCAATACTTTTGGGAAGCATTTAGAGGCATGGGACGGTAAATCAGTATTTAGAACTGATGGGATTGGCGAAGGTCATTCGGCCGGTGATGAAAGGTCAATCAAAGTGGTACTGTTGGTCCGTCCTACTCCCGAACCATTGCCATGGATTGAACGAGATTTAGTATACAACCTCCTTTGGTTATCTGACCCGCCGAAAGCTCTAAAGACATTCCAGGGCAGGGAAGGACAGGGGAACCTCCTTGAGTCTGCATCTAAATTTCTAGTATTATGTTTTCTTTACTGTTATTTGCTTTGGTCATACAATTTTTGTTGTCGTCGTTTTTTTTTGCAAGACTCTTACATTAGGTGGGGGTGGTGAGGGTTTTGGCTCTGACCACGTTAGGCTCATTTAGACCCACTACAGGATCAGCGAATCATATTCCTCTGTTCAGGGTGATTGGTTCTCTGGATGGTTCGAGTGTCGGTGGCTGGAAGTGGTTCCTTTATGTCTTTTATCCCTTGTTGAATGTTTTATTATCAATTTAAGCTGCCTTGTTCCAAAAAAAAATTACGGACCAATCAATGACATCTCAAATCAATCTTGGGACAACTTACTCCGTATAATTTATCTCCCATTAACCCAAAAAACCCCTTTCATTGCGCAAATCAAATTCAAATTGGGCTAATAAACTTTTTTGCTTTACAATTTCAAAAGTCAAAAGTTGTGTTCAGTCGTTCCGTTGCACTGCATTGGTAGTTGGTAAGCTATTTTGGTTTTGAAGCGCAGCAACAGATAGAATTAAACCAAGACAGATATCTTATACGGAGTAATTTAAATACATATGTACAATAGGAAGATATTTCAATTTTGGGCCCCGAGGCCTTTGCCTCACCAGCCTCTAAGTAAGCACGGCTTCGATGGCTAGGATCTCAACCACCATATCTTCAGCATTAAATGCGCTTCCCGCCAGGATCTCGATTTCCCGCCAAGGTTTGGGACCGAGCGTTCTCCTAGTCTTTAGCCACCCCTTGGTGATGGAGACAAGGGGCGGCAGCCGAGCGTCTTCTATGTATTACTTGGTTGTAGCTGTTGTAGTGCATTGTTAGTCTTCAGGGCTAAGGCTTCTGAGGCCGAGCCTTATCCGATAAGACGTACTTTGATGATGCCTTGGGCTATTGAGGATAGCTGCCCCTGGTGGGCTTGGAGCCTGGACACGAACGTCTGGTGGGCCTCTGTTGAAAGGGATAATTGGCCATCCCCTGGTTGGGCCATTAACCCAACAAAATTATTAACTCAAAGTTAGGTCAGAAACATTAAAAAGTACGTAGTACTTGATTTCGAATATTAAAGTCACTCCGAAGAGTAGATCTTCAACCATGTCTCAAAAGATGAATGAATTACCAACTCGTAGGCAAGAGCGGATCTATGTGTTAATGAGGGTTAGCATTGGCTTCACCTCAATAATTGTTACTAGCCTATCTAGCAACAACATTGATATCGCAACTCTTCCTTGGCTTCAGGTCAGATGTTCGAAACCTTCAAAGGCTACACCCTTTGTCTGCTTTTTTTTAAGTGCGCTGCCTTAATGCTCCCTTCTTCTTTTTTTCAAATTTGCTCTTTGTACCCACCCATTGTACCCACCCTATACACACTACAAATACCCAAAAAAAATCCAAATAATTTACCCCCCTCTTTTCCCCTCACCTCACACCCGCGTATCTCACCCAACCGACCCACCTTTCTCTCGCACTCCCCCCTTTTCTGGAAATCAAACTCCCGCACACACTCTGTTCTTCTTCAACGATCCTAAGCAACGATCAACTACAAAAAAACTGGATTTTCCTTCCTCTTCCATGGATTTTCACTTGGACAAAACCATGGTCACAAACGACGACGAATTTTGGGCTATGTGGATTGACGGAACTGAAGAAACCGGAGGTGGAGAAAGGGAAAAATCTGCCGGACCTGGAGAAAAACGACAGACGGCCGGTGATGGAGAAGGTGATGGAATGACGGACGTAGGCGGAGAAGGCTCCGGACAGAAGCCTGGAGGTGGAGAAGGTGATGGACACACCGGAGGTGGAGAAGGTGACTTTACGACGGATGTAGCCGGAGAAGATGGATGCACATCGACGGCGGCCATAGACGTCGTTTCTGACCTCGGTAGGACTTCATCTTCTTCTCTCATGGTTTTAGCAGGTCATTGAACTTAAAATACATTTCTTCTCACAGGCATGGTGTTAGAGGTGAAACTTGTTTATTTGTTCTATTGTTTGTGTATGTAAATAGTGGTGGACAAGTTTGTTTGTGTAGTGTTGTGGGTGTCAGTTGAATTGTCTGTGTGTGTGTATATGACTGTCTGTGTGTACCCCTAAGTTTGTTTGAACATACGTTTCTTCAAACATGTTACTGAATGCAGCGTTAACTTCTTAATATTTGTTATTGTTTGTGCATGTAGAACGTCGTAGACTTGTTTGTTTGTGTGGTATTCAACGTGTTTGTGAGACTTGTGAATTGTTTGTTTGTGCACATATCACTGTCTATGTGTGACAGTAAGTTGGTTTGAATACATAACAGATGGAGAAGGGGTGGCTATGGAGATTGAACTTGGTAAAGACCCGGAGCTTGGTATGGAGTTTGAAAGCAGAGAAGCGGTCTATGATTTTTACAAAGCATATGGAAAACGTTTGGGATATCCTATAAGAACTAGGAGCACAACGAAAGACAAAAAGGAAGACAGATTGTGTCAATTGTACTAGAGTGTTCGCGGGCTGGTCAGAGAGGTAGTCAATCAAAAAATCAATTGAAGCCCCAACCTTCAATGCAAATAGGGTGTGGAGCTAGACTACGAGCACACGTAAATAATGAGGGACTTTGGCAAATTTCAAAACTGTTTTTACAACATTCACATCCTATGAGTCCAACAAAGGCTAGACTATTCCGATGCAATAGGAAGTTGACTCATGGAATGGCGAGGAAACTTGCAATAAATGAAGTTGCGGGAATACGACTTAATAAAAGCTTCACCGTGGCCGTTGTTGAAGCCGGTGGATATGATCAACTTCCCT